TTTATTTAATTAAAAAATAATTATTATTTATATAAAAAAAGTACAAATCAATTTTAATTTTTAAAATAAATTAAAATTTCAATTTTAACTTAAATTATATTATATTATTTAATTAAAATTTAATTTATAATTTATAATTTAAAATTTTATCTTATTAAAAATTTACTGTACAGTTAAAAAAATTCGTTTTCAACTTTCTCGTTGAATTTGACCTTTTTATTTTTCTTTTTCAATGCAAAGATCTGATGGATAGAATAAAAAAGCATCAAATTGAAAAAAATAAAAACAAAAAGATAAGATAAGAATAAGAAAAAGTCTGACTTTCTTGCATAGTTGCATGTGATATTTATTCAACAAGGCTCAAAATTGTCTCAAATTACTACGTGATTTAGTGGTCATTTTTTTTTTTTTTGGAGAACGTATTTGAACACGAAAATTCTAGGATATATTCCTATGCACTACTTTCTTTATTCCAACAATTTCCCAAAGTCAAAAAAAGAAAAAAAAAAAAAAAACTCAAAGTTAGCAAGGAAGCCCATAAAGAGGCCCAGCATTGGCTTCATTGTGCCTAATTAAAAGTCCACACTATTAATACCCCAACAAGAGCTCCTTAAGTTTGTCAATATTGATATAAACTCATGGACAAAGAGAAGTGTTAACATAAAGCAATATGAGTTTTATAGTAAAACTACAATACAATTTTTCATTATAATAACTACTATTAAACCATTAACTCACTTCATCTACATTTTTCATATGGATAATGATGGATGGATAATTTTTAAGTGCTTTATTTTACAATATAAATTACACTAAATTATAAAATAGGAAGCGTTGAATAAGGAAGAGCCTCTAATATCAGGAAATTAACTATCGTTCAATTATTATAGTTGTATAATTCAATACAATTTGAATATATAATACCTTTTTCATAATTTTTTTGTTTAACTTTTTATAAAACTTTTTCATATCATAAAATTAGTGAATGTAAATAATATTATAAATTTCAAAAAGTAAAAAGATACAATATCTAAATGATATTTAAACTTATATAAAAAATTTATAAAAAATTACCTCTCAGTTATTTTCTTTTTCATAAAAATTGTACAAGTAATTCACTTTCTTTTTCATACAAATTGCCACAAATAATTGCATTTGATTTTCAAACCTTTTTTTTTAAAGGAAGAAAAAAAAAAGGGGGGTAAACATTCAAATTGAGATGTGATTATGGTCATCAATTGTTTTTTTAAGCCTACCAAAAAAATTATTTACTCAAATCGAGGTTTTATTATTTTAAAATTTTTTAAGTAATT